GATCGAAGACATTGCTAATTTATGTAAAGCATAGCTCAAGAAGCCACGAAGTGCTATGTGATCTTGAATTTCGCGGAAAATTTAGCACGTTACAAACCATACAATTTTTCGATTCGATTTTGCAAACATTACAAATTTTATGAAGATTATATAACGTGCTATGATGTTAAAATGAAATATCTATGTTAGTTTAGAAATGCATTATAGTAAAATATTATTGAATTATCAATAATACTTAAAGAATAATATATTTTCTTTTCTTTTTACTGTTTTTTCATATGTTATATGAATATATTTATTTTTTTTTTGTTATATGTATATATTTATATAGAATATAAAATTTAAAAAAAAACATTTATTTTTGTAAATTTTTAAATTTTAATAGAAAATTTATGACTAATGATTCACTTTTTGAAAAATAAATAATTTATTTTAATTAAGCCAATTCAATTTAATCATGTTTTTCTATCTATATTTAAAAAATATTTTAAAAATATTTTAAATTTACAAAAATATAAAAGAATTATTATGCATAATTGCTGGTTCAAATTTTATATTACTTTAAAGTCTTTTTTCTGAAATAGGAAATAAGAATTGATGAAGAACAAACAATCTATTTAAGAAAATATTCTTAAACATAAACTACTTATAGAAATGAAAAAAAAAATTATAATAATATAATTAATAGTAAGTAATTGAAAGGAAAAAATAAAAAATTGCAAAAATTATTTTTTGAACAATTCCGAGAAAGTAAATTTTCGAAACCATTGTGAATAAATCAAACAAGATTGTTTGGATGAGGCTCAACATTGACGCTTCGCAAACTCTCGTTAATATATACAAGGGAGTGAGATTGTTTAGCCGATGGCGGATGGTAGAGGAAAAAGAAACGGTTGGCACGACTCCGTTACTAACGAGCACCACGCTCAATATCCTTAAAATTTGACTGCCCGATAAAAAGACTACTCTCTTTTCTTTCTGCGGCGTCGAAGGGGACCAGGGAAAAATATTCAACGAGAGGACATTGAACCCATTTGTCAGCCTCGAAAATAACTCCTTTGCTTTTATGATAAACCATCGCTATGCATCGCGGGTGTAGTTAACCGAGAGAAAAAATATCGTCGTCTCCACGCTGCAACGAGAGTGCGCAGCAAAGAGGATGAGAAGAAGCTGTTAAGAATATTTCGGCCACATGTGCACATCCAATAGAAATTATTTTCTGATGACGTTGCTCGACAGTATTACTTTCTCTTCATCATTTGCAAATACAAGGATGACGTTATTACAGATGCATACAAGGGTGTTGAGAATCAATATGTAATGAATTTTGAAAAAGATATCTAACAATAGATGAATATTGGTAAGCTATACATATACTTATATGTAAATTTATATTTTGACAGGATAATAATTAAATATATTATTTGAATAATCAATAATTAATAATATAATTATTTATCGTATAAAAAATATTTAACAACTAATATTTAATATTATTGACAAATTACAAGTTATCACAATTTTATATTTTTACAATTAATCAATAATTTAGTTTATAAAATGTTTTTGAAACTTCATTTTTTTTACTGTCAAACTTGTTGCTTTTACACACAAGTACATTTATCAAAGTAACTTGAAACTTATAAATAATAGAATATTAATCCAATTGTGCAAAGATATTCAATTTATTTATGAATCTACCAATCAAAATCTAATTCAAGAAGCCATGTATACTGAATTGACTACGCGAGAGCCATCATAAGTATATATATATATATACTGCAAATCGTTAACTGGATAGTCGTAACATTACTCGTCGTTTGCCAAGTGAGCCCCTTCAACGAGTAACCTTTCCTATGGCATCTGTATGTTACGATTCACTTCTCGCACGATGTTAATTGACACCGTGGAATTATTATCGCATTTGCATGCTGGTCAGGGCACGACATACGTTCCATATTGCTTTATTTTTCCGATTTGCGCGCGCGTGTTCCATCAAAAAGAGACAAAAGAAACGGAAAAACGGAATTATTGCATCGTGTACAATTATCCACTCATCTATTAAGGAAGAATTTGAATTTTTGAGAAACCGATCATTTTAAAATAACTGTCGATAAAATTGCATCGTTGTGATGAAATCTTTTATAAATCAAGCGTATAATGTCTGTTATCAATGTATAAATCAACATCGAAGGAATGTGTCGATCATGCTATTCAATCTGAATAGACATCCATGCTGTAAGTTTATAAATTGAATCAAAATAAAAGTAACTTTGATTAAGAATTCTCTTTTTTTATTTCGTTTTTGTAAAACAATAATTTAACAAGCTGAATAAATCACGTAATCGTCGAGTATTCATTAAGGAGTGACGATAACGAGTCTTTTAGTCTTTAGAAAGCTATCAAGAACAGATTTCCTCGTGATTAATTGACGAGACTTGGCTGGATAATGTGAATGACGTATGCAAGTAACGATGAAATATAAAGTGTCGCGAACTTGGAGATTGTGATACTTGCTTGATCGATCGTTACTGTTTGAAATGGCAATGACCGGCTATCATTCTGTAGAAAAATTGTTTTAAAAACAAATTGTTTCAAACGAATTTTTTTCGAATTGTATGTAACTCATTATGTACGAATATTCTTTCATTATGTACAAATTTACAATTAATTAAAAATATCGATTGAATTGATTTTAAATCTATTTATTTGAAACAAACAAATGAATCTTTCTTGGATGTTTATATACTTGTTGCAATTATTGCACTCATTGAAAATTGAAACCGTGAAACGTGAGTCATACACTTCCGTCGACAAGAATAGTGTAAAGTTCATAAGATCGTATAATAAAATGCTGATGCTTATCACTGTTGGTGACATCACAATGAACGTGCAAAGCGTGTCATCACGATCACGACATCGCGCGACAACGAGACATTTTACTGGCATGTGGTGATAACGCTTTTTGCTCTGAAAATTTACTTTGTATATCTGTGATTATGCGCGCAGTTTACGAGTATTACTAGGGGAAAGTGGGACTGAATATTCATGATTCAATTAGAAATCGATCGAAGATACGAAAGTAATTGATACTAATTTGGTATATATATAAAATCAATGTAATAAATTTTGTTTGTTGTATTCTCGAAATTAACAATATGTTATATTGTATCTATGGTATATCTATGATTAGTTTTATAAAGACAACGTGTAAATTAACTAACTTAATTAGCAATCTATCTTGTATTTTTTAGTATCATATTTAATACCTAATATTTAATTTATTTTTAATATATACCATATAATAGTTATTTTTAATATCATTAAATTTATTTTATCTATTTTAAAGTTTAATGTTCTAAATCTTCAAAAATCATATATTTACCTATTCCTCGAAAATATCGATCGTGAGCAATAGATAATCAATCGAACAAGGATAATAACGAATGACTACCATAACTCTATTCTCCTGTGGCGCAACTAGATGCAGAAAACATGCGAGATCATCGTTAAGGTTTCGGAAGTGTATCTAAAAGAGAGAGTCACAGACACGCGAGCCATCGATATGTGGTAATTCATTGAAAATTTATCACCTCGAAGAAGCTTTCGAGCAGTATCACGCGACGGCGCCTTCGTCCGCTCGACATCGCTAATCGACGTTAATTTTATTACACGCGACTCCTTCCTATATTTCTTCACCATTTTTCTCTTCCTTGGCTGGTTCTTCGCTAACGGAGAAAGTTCCTAGAACACGTTAGAACTACTCACACTAAATGAACTTAAGACCTGCGCGATGAAAAGCGAAATGCTTTGGAGTTACAGAGTTATATAGGGTGTCACGATTTTTCAAATTTTTTCACTAATTTTATGAGGAAATATTTTGAACGAAAATTAATTATTTCACTAAATAATTGCACTAAATCATCATGTATTTTTGATTTCAGAGAATAATATCAAGAAGAATTTAATAATTTATTATGATCATAAAATGATCTTGATTCTGGATTCATTTCATAGGAATATTAATTTAAATTTATTTTTTAAAGATATTTTAAACTACAGCGATTATTATGCACAAAAGTGATACTGATATCATCATGATATCATGTTGATATAACTTACAGTAGAAAAACTTCATAGTTGCATTTCTTTCTTTCTTTTTTTTTTCGTTCTGAACAAGTTTTTAGAAAATAATTCATATAATATGTTACTGGATAGAGAAGTGACATTTTCAGAAAGTAGTAGTACCAATCATTTCATTAGTTGAAAATCAACGTAATCCGTAAACTGTACATTTACTACATGTTATTTTCAGAAATCGTTCGCGAATGTGCATCCAACTTGTTTGTTTCTCTCGTTCAATGTCGTGGATCGACCATGTTGGACGTTATCAGTACGACGTTCAGTATGGCCACCCGAAGCACACGAACCAGTATTCCCACGCGAATGTCCTCCGAACCGTATCTGAATCTCCGTCTCTACGTGTTCCAAAGTATTTTTCTGGGAATGGAAACGATTTGATGTGTACCTCGTCTCGACAGCGAAAACATACATTTTTGCGAATTACAATGATCTGTACTGTCGCGAATACATCGCGATCATCGACCGTTGCTCGGAAACTTATCGCGTCGTCCAAAGTTAAATAGAGTATTATCCACGTGGGCGTTCGAAGGCATCCATAATTTATTAGCTTGATCTTGGAATATCGAATACTTTAAGAACTCAAGGAGCTTAAAAAAAATATAAAAGTACTTCTATTCGTTTATTTTTATATTTATATCGAAGAAGAAATTTCTATTTCTTCTTCCTTGAGAAATCTAAGAATTTAATAAAAGTACTTTTATATCTTTTTTATGATAGAAATTATTTCTTATTTTTTTATTTTTTTTATAATTTAAATTGAGTTTAAAAAATAAAAGAACTTTTATTTTCTTTTCCTTTAAATTTTTAATTTTTCTTTATGCTTTTTGCTACGTAAATTAGAATCATTTTTGTAAAATCATATATGAATTTCATGGATTCTTCGAAGAAATTTTTAACAGAAATAATATATGTCAAGTGCAAATTCTATTCTATTACTACCCATGAAATAGATTCAAGGGGAATGAGATAATGTCAGACACACTACCTGTCTGACGGAACCCACACGATTCACTAATCTGAATCACTTGTCGCGCTAATCCCTTTAATCTTTACAGGCACAGATAATTTGTAGGCAAATAAGGCACTCATCTTTAATAGACGATTTATCCTTGTCCTTGTTAAAGACCTCATTTTGTTCTGCATACCTGTCGGAAGAATATAAGAATTAGAAGAAGAAAACAATTGTTTTTTTATAATTATATTTTAGATTTTACCAATATCTATCTGAATCTAGATATTCTTTGTTAAAATTCATTATTAAAAATTTTTTTATACTTTATTCTTTCTAAGAAACTGCAGCTATGTTAACAAAAATATAGTTTATTTTCTCTTTTACTTAAAATAGCATCTCATTAATCATTTTTTTTATTTCATTTTCAAATAACAAATGAAACTAATTAATTTAACTTTTTAACTTTTGATTAACAATATAAATACCTCAAATACAGCATATGTATAACTTACTTCTTTCTGTAATTAAATAATGCATAATTTATCGCCATTAAAAAGCGAAAATTAATATGTAGTCAAGATATTCATTTCTGAATTAAGACTTCTTATCACTTCAAGACAATTTTAACATATATCAATAAGTAACCTATGTTCGTACGATTCCTTCACGCCCTTGGCATGTGTTCTCCATGAACAAAATGGCGCACAGGGCAAGAAAAGCAAACGTCTCACGATGAGAAGCAAGTGGTCGATGTTGCGACAGTAAATGTCGTGTCGCGTTTCAACGTACATGACAGGGACAGGCCGAGATGCAATTTTCTTGCGAGTCCAACGATGACGAAGTGGTTTCACCGCGTGGAATCACCTCTCGTCGCCCAATTATGCGAGATCCTTGCGCGTCCATGCGCAATGAATCGACCCGTCTTCTCTCATTTGTGCAATTTCTACCCAAGACACTGAATAGCCAAGAGAAAACAACGATTTCAATGGACAGGATCGTCTGGGATCGTCTTCTTCTCATAGAGGTTCGATGTTGTAACATTTGTCTTCAATGTTTCGAGAAGATTAAAGACGAAGATAAAAGTAACGAGAAATATAAATTAATGAAAATTTTTAATATTATGTTTTTGAAGTTAATATAGATGAAAAATTTGAAATAAATAAAAGAATGGGAAGAAAAACAATCAGAGAAATTAAGATATTAATTATAATTATATGTATAATTAATATATGTGATAATTAATCTATACATGTTGATATATTTCCATTAAATTTAATGTAATGGAATATGTTTTGTATCTTTAAAAAAAATAAATAGGATAAATACTAAGGATTAGGATATAGATATTCTGTATGTATTTCTCATTTTTGAAGAAATTCCCATTCATTTCTGATTTCTAATTCTCATTTCTGATTATGAAATATCTATATCTTATTTTGACTAATTTTCTTATTAAAATAATAATAATTATTGTCATTAAAGGAAAAGTGTTAATTCCTTTTAGAATTAAAAAAATATATTAAATTGAAAACAAGAATAATGTTATTAAACCATTAACTAAATTAGCTAAATTAACTGTAATTAACTGTAATTAAAGAAATTTAATTGAAATAAGTTATAATTAAAACTAATCAATGTTTTAGAGTGTAAATGATACCTTTGGAAAATGTTCAATTACGATGATCCTCGGGCGTTTATATAAATCTAAGCTTCTTTCGTTTATGTAATTTTATGTAACAGGAAATATTCAAGTATAAAGAGAAAGGAATGATTTCAATATATCTATCATCATAATATTATTTTTTACATCAATTTGAATAAGCACATGCAATAGCATTTGAAAAATTGATTTTCACGAATTTTTAAAAATCAAATGGAAATCATGTCTTTTTATCAATTGCTATCAAAAAATTAATAAAAATACAAATAAAGGAAGAAATTTATATTTTATATAATTGATTTAAAACAAGCAAAACAAAAATTGATTCGAAATTATTTCAAATAAAATTATGAATATTTATTGATTAATCGAATTCGATTATCAAAAAAGATCAGTTACAAGAAGCAGTCGAATAATTTTTTGACATGATAACCATCTTGAATTTCTTTTTATAATTAAAAATTTGTTTTTAAACTCTGTCATTCGTATCGAATCAAAATTTAAACGTAATTGTCAAAATTATCCTCTTTGTATTCCATATCGTTTCGACGCGATGTAAATAAAGTTTCGGATTTCAGACTGTGATCGCTATCAAAACAATCGATTCATTAATTTAATTTTATCTTATCACCGTTTAACAATGAGTGTATATAGATGGCATAAATTTTAATAACAAATGTAAAGCTGAGAATATTTACCTGCTCTAAAATACATCGAAGAGGATTTTTGTTGAGTAATACATGTGCATGAGATATCATTTCTTTTTTGTATGTAAAATATGTTTTCGTATTAATAGATTGTTCATTTCTTTGTGTTTTAGAAGACGAGTTTGCACCAGATCGATTCCCAGTTCTGTTACTCATCATCATCGAAAAGTTAGGTAACGTGAATTTTTTAAAATGAAATATTTATCTTTAAAACTCCAATTTTTTTTTAAATTTAATATTTTGCGTATACTCAAAATAATTAAAACTATATTAAAATCATTAACTACTATTTTAATTTTGAGATAACTAAAACATTTAAATTTAATAGAAAAAAATTTTACAAAACAGAACTTATTCCAGTAAATTTAATTACAAGAATGTTACTTCTTTTTAAGAATTAAATTTATAACTTTAAGATATAAGAAAAATATTATTTATTATAATAATGTACCATGAAATTGTACTCAATTGTTTTTAGATATCTTAATATATTTAATATTGAGACACCTTCCATTTTCTTATGCTGCCCTGGATGGACACAGGCAACTCACTTGAGTTTTGGATGCAATAAACGTAAGTAAATTGTCATAATTATCATAATAATTTCTTTTTATTATTAATAAAGTTCATTTATTATATATATAATTATTAAAATATTATTATATATACATTTTAAAGGCTGATGTAATAATAAATATCTATTTATTAAATAATAAATATTATATATAATTATATATCTATGTAATCTAAATTTAATTACCTTTTAGCTATTTGCCCTTCTCCATGCTTGAACAGAGGTGTGTGTACTTCTCCTGGCAAGTGTACGTGTCCCAAAGGATTTACAGGCAACCAGTGTCAGACAGGTACATGTAATAAAAAAAGATAAGTCAATTCTAAATTATCGATTCGAATTTTACAGTTAATCAAAGCTATTTTAATGCTTTTCAATATTGTTAACGACTTCATTGACTTTTTAACAATCATGTTTTATTAAATTTCATGTAACAATGTACACATTAATTTCATGTAAATATCAACTCAATTATATCATTCAATCATGTGCAGCGATATAGAATGTCAAATAATAATGCATTCAATTTGCAAGAAGTACATATTACATAAAAATTCTTGAAAATTCCCAAAAAATTATTTTATTATGCTTTTATTATAAATATATCTGAAATGAAAAAAAATATAATTAGAAATCGTTTTTTATGAATAACAAAATGAAAAATATAAATTTTTTAAAGATAATATATAATTAAATCTTCGTTACGACAAATTTGAAGCGCAGAATGTTAAGTAATCATGTTAAGTAATCCATACTTAAATATATTTCTATTAGCAATGAAAAGTATTTTTTTCTCTTCATTCACTTTTTTTTTTAGAGAAAAAGTATAATTATTGACTGTATTTATTTATTGTTATTCAAATCATGCATATCATGCGTAGAAATCTATGCACTGTAAATTTAAAATTCGTTAACATAAAATATTTTCTATTCATTTCAGTCTCAAATTCAAATTCCAAATTTTAAATAGTGATCAACAATGCTCCTTATCTAGGCTAGGCTCGAAATACCATAGAAACAAATGAACCTCCGCAAAGTTAACGAGACAAACAACGAGCGCCGTTAAATCGTAAAATATATGTGATCGATATTTGAGGTAGAAGCACGTCCTCGTAGCCGAGATCGTTAAGCGTAATTAAATTGACGTAGACCGATACGCAGGTCGATAGCATTGTGCGAATACCATGCCGAACGTATTGTGGTATCCGGCAGCTGGGTTGCTTTCGATAGATTTACGAGCGATTTCATTAAGCTATGCGGATGTTCTAATTACCGGGGCGAGGTAAGTTGTGTTAGTAAACCGCTTTTGATTCAATAAAAAAATCCTTTACGAGAAGTTTTAACCCTCCCAAGAAGATATCCTTGAAATTTACAATAGCTACAGCGCGTTGTTCAATTATGATAAGATCTTCCTGGGTTTTACGAGCTAATTATGTATTTCTTTAAGAAATATTCTACTTTAAAAAATATTTTTTTTTACATCGAAAAAAAAAGGAAAGAAGAAATAGAATGATTTAAAGAATTAGAAATTTGATGCGTGATTAATTTCTTTTTAAAAAAATATTTTTTTTTGTTATAAACATATGGAATATTTAATACATATGAAATTTATTTAAACTACCAATTATAAATATCAATTAAACAATGATTAAATGAAACATTAAACATAATAAATAAAAAAAAATTTTTTTCTATTTCACTTTCCAAAATATATTTAAATTATAATTAAAATATGTAATGAAATAAAAGTCATTTATATTAAGTTTTAAACTTCTTGCTTCATAAAAAAGCAAATCTTTGAGTTTCTCATATAATTACCTTATTATGTTAATCAATAAATAACTTTAAATAATATCACAAAATTTAAATAATATCACTAATCTTTATCTTTTGTCATTCACTAACTCAATGACTAAATTTCTTACAGTAATTTTTACAATAAAATTATCGAATGAATTTTGAAACATTTGATTAATGAAACGTTACATTGTGATGAATTTGCGTAATATTCTTGATTGGAAACAGAAAGATTTCGCGATGGATCAGCTACTATCATGCAGCTGTCACGTTTATGCAATTAATTTTTGCATGAATTAACATAACTTGTCCACCAACATTACAGATATCGACGAATGCGTGACAGAGAAGCCCTGTGATCAACTTTGCAGAAACCTACCTGGAATTTATGAGTGCTATTGCAGACCTGGTTTTCAATTACAAAAAGACGGCCAATCCTGTCGAAAGAACGGTGAGTAATTGTTGAAGAAGTTTTATTCTACTTTCCCAAAGACAAATTCGTTTTTGAGATCTCGACAGTGACTAATAGAGTACTCAAAAAAACAAGAATTATCAATTTTAAAGCTATTTAAATGCTATTCACGAAACACATGTTGGTAACACCAGTGAATAAATTTTTAAATAGCTTCTTATTGTTTTGCTCAATTCTAGCTTTTGGAATTTTAGATAAGGTAAAAATCATGTTATTTTTATCGAAGAAACGACAATATTTCGTTGCATCTATTCTCATTAATCTTGAGTTTCAATGCCATTTACACGAAGTTCGACTCTGTGAGATATATTTAAAATGGTATTCAAGTTCAACATCGGTTAAAATTGTCTTGGAAAACAGAATGAAACATGGTACAGTGACATGAATTTTAAGCTTGAGTGAGTTCTGGTTTAAATTATGATCAGGATATTGCGAAATTCAGAATGTCGACTGTGATGAATATATATCAGAAATTAAACTTAATGAACATTCTAAAAATCTGTATAAGAAAATAATAATTTTTTTTTATTGATAATAAAAAATGTAAAATATGGAAAATTAAAATAAAACATTTAATTTCATAAAATAATAAAATAATAATAAAATCAAAACTATAATAGAAGAATGCTTTTACAACAAAGCAATCATTAAGTAAATTTATTAGAATTTTTTTTTTAAATTTTTGAAAAATCAAATAAAATCCTATTTATCATAATGATGCATCATGTCCTCACTCAATATAATAATAAATATTTTGCACAGAAACTTGAAAGAACTATCTTTAAGAATAGTTTGCTCTTGGATCAGATTGTTTTTACTTTAATTACAAATATATTTTTTTTAGACACAGAAGACACTGCATTCGAAGCTCGAGACTTGGAGAATGATTTTCCGCGAATAACAACAACAAGACGTCCATTAATCTCACCACATGGTTCATAATTATTTTTATTATTATTTGACATAAATACAAGAATATTTTATATTTCATTGAACAATAATATAATAATGTTTTATTGCAGATACAGAAAATGAAGTAGTTGATGGTGATCTTGATCAGGAATATGAGTTTATTTTAAAAAGGCTCACCAAGCTCGAAAAGGTATGTCGAATAATAATCGTATTACATATATAATATATATATATATGTATTATTTGACTTGTAAAAAAGAAGCATTTTCATTCGATGATAAAAAAAACGGATGCAGTGAGTTAATTTTTTTCTTATCTTTAATTTTATTTTATTTTAATTGTTTGTTTTAATTGTTGTGAATATAAATTGACTATGTAAATTCTTGAACAGTTCAATAGTTTTGAATAGGAAGATGCACGGATAATTCTATGTATTCATAGATTTTCTAATATATTGAAATTAATTTTAAAAATTTACAATAAATAAAATTTATATTATATTTTTAGCAATTTGCAACAGGAAGAAAAAGAGATACTGAAACAACAGAAATGAGTGTCAAAGTTGCATCAGTTGTTGAAAGTATCAATGAGATGAAAAGAGCCATTGAAAATGTGGTTAGTATGTAAAATATACTTGTAAAATAATTTATAAAATATAAAATATTGTTTAAAGCTATAACATTTTACAGCAAATTATGCAACAAGAAATATATGAAATGAGAAGCAAATTAAGAGAATATGAATTAGAGACAAGGAAAATGCAGCACTTAACGAATAAAGTAATGGAACTGGAAAATCGTTTAAGATTACATTGCAAATCAGCAATGAACAATGGTTTATTGAATTTTTAATGTCACGAAATATAACGAAACAGAAGAGTGTTAAAAATATTGGGCATTGCCCATAGATGTAATATTTATGTAAGAAAATAAAATTGTATTATCACTGCCATTTTTTTAGCTTATATAATATTTTAAAATGTAGTTGACTTTACGAAAGTGTAACTTAAACAACTTTTGTGATCATTTGTATTCAGCTTTATAATAAAATGAAAAACCCAAATTATGATTTATATAAAAAAATTATATTGATTGGTATAATTAATTAATTTCACATGGAAGATTTTTGTTTTGCTGCTTTTTTTTGTTTCCTAGTTAATCTTTTGTGTGATCTTGAGTTTGCTTTCTGTGATTTTGCTCTACCTTTTTTGTGTTTTGCAATTTTTCGTTTACTCATCCATATTGGGTAATTTCCATATTGATCTAGCATTGTTTTCTTATTATATACTCTACTACCATTGTCGATATCCATTTCTTCAACATTTGTTATATTATCATTTGTTTTTGTATTTTCTTTTATTGTTTTAGCATCAACAACTTAAAAATAATAACAACAATAAAATAATACATTAAAAAATAATATATTAATAATATAATAATATATTAATACATTAAGAAAAAAAATATCTTACTTGTAGCAATATTTGATATATCTGGCATTTCAACATCTTGTGTATTTTCATTAATACCCAACGTTTTTTTTAATCTTTCTAATTCTTTTGCTCCATAACGTTCCCTTTTAATTGCTCTACATTTTCTTTTCCATTTACTTCGGATTGATTTTGCCATCTTATCTTCGTATAACTATACATATATATATATATATATATTAAGATATAAATGTAGAAATATATAATTTAAGTCTTAAAGATAGAATTATTAAACTATTTGATAAATAGAATTTAAAAAATATATATATATTATTTGATAATAATATAATTTTGTATCACGTTAAAGGTTAGGATCCAAAAATATACGATATTAGAAAAGATAAAATTTTACGTAATTAATTTTTCAAATAATACTTACATTAAGTTTATATATATATATTAAGTATATATATATATATATATTATATTTTGTAAAAATATTTGTAAATATTATTCTTTACGTTTTAAGTCTATAAAACACGTGTTATAAATATTTAAAAATGGAAAACTTAACCTTAAACGTTCAAGATCTCAAAAACCTGACTTAAGTATTCTTATTAAAGCGATCTCTACAAGTCGATATTATAAAGTGTCGCTAGTTATATAAATTTATATAATTTTAATTTTAACAAATAATAATAAATATCAATTTGCAAATCTCAGTTATGTATTAATTTAACAAATAATTTAAAATTAAATTATTTTTTAGATATTGATTGATAATTTTTAAATAATTATTGATATTCTGAAGAAATCGTTTTAAATAAGACAGCACTTAACGATAATTGTCTATTTTCATGAAACTTATGAATTTTTATATTAGAAATTATCAATTGAATTTTTTTTACTTTAATTTAATAAGTTTGATATATATATATATATTTTTTATATATTTTGACAAAAAATTAATATTTAAAAAAATAGTTTTATATCAATTTAAAGAATAAATTTGATTTATCTTGCACAAATTATAATTACATATATATATTTATAGTATATTATATATTTATAATTACGTATACAGCATAAGCTCGATTTCTTTGACATAAAAATACAATTACATTATATTTATTTTTGATTTATTTTAAATGAAGTTAAAACGAATTTATTTCATAATTTAAAAATATAAATATATTTTAAATTTAATTTGATAGACATGAGTAAATCTATAATTGCAAATGATTTTACTTGTGCTATTTTTGTAACAAGGTAATGACATTTCTTTGAAAAAAACATCTTTTATTAAAAAAATATAAATATTTAACAAATCTAAAAAGTATTTTAGTGTTATATAACAGATATAGTATTATTTAATTATTATGTTTTCAGTGATATGTAAAAATATAATCTAACATAAAAATATAACAAAAATATTTTTAAAAAATGACTATGGAGATTAAACATGTAGATAATAATTTACCACTTCCTTCTGAAAAAATGCCTAAATGTTGGAATGAAGAAGAAAGAATCAGTGCTTTATTTTCTCCTTTTCGAAATAAATCAGTAAATTCACAAGATTGGATATCAAAATATAAATTTTGGCAAAATTTAATATATGAATGGTTAAAATATACTAGGAAAAGTAGTTTTTCTATTGCAGACTTAAATAATGCCTTTAAAAGAAAAGGTTGTACACCTCTTTGTTTAATAACTGTTGTTGAAGAACTTCTTCGGTATATTATTCTTATTATAATATCACTCTTATAAATAATAAAAAGATAAATAAAAAATTATTCTAATATTGTAACATATATATTGTAGGAATAATGAAATAATTTTAGAAACTGAATTTTTGAAAGAACCTTGTGAATCATGGACAGCATGGTCAATTGACATACTTGTGAAAAAACCACTTACATGGTCATTTTCAAAAGTTAAAAGTTATGTTGTTAACAATGAAATTAACAAAGAAACTAGATACATAAACTTACAAATTATTAAAGAATTTGGAGATATTTTGTTTTCTATTTTAGAAAAAAGAAAAGATAATATTCTTATATCATTTTCTGAGTTAATAAAATGTTACAGATCTGAAATAGACCAAAATATATCAGATAATACAGTAATGTTAATCTTGATGTGGTTAAGACGTGAAAAAAAAATTGTACTTAAAAGTAATGAAAATGAAAGTGAATTATTGATTAAAATTGCTACACATTCATCAGATGGTGTAACTGAAATTGAGGAAGGATTATACAAGTTAATTAAACAAGAAAATGAACTTATAAAAGAAATAGAATTTATGGAAAAAGAAAAAATTAATATTATTAATGAAGCTAAATCATATTTAATTAAAGGATTACGACAGGTAGCAAAAACATATTTAAGAAAAAAAAAAGAATTAGAAAAAACTATTGAAAATCGAATACAAACTCTTGATAACATTCAAAGTCTTATAACAAGTATTCAAACTACTCATACAAATAATGCTGTATTATCAGCTTACAAAACAGGGTCACATGTATTAAAAAAACTTAATGAAAGTGGTTTATCAGAATCTAATGTTAAAAATATTATGGATGATCTTGCAGAAGTAAGTCAATATCATAACTAAACAATTATTTATTTTATAAATAATTATATATATGAAATATATATATTATTGTAAACTACAGGCTATAGAAGATCAAAAAGATGTACAAGTTATGTTATCAGAATCTTTGGTAAATGATGATTCAAATGTTGACTTAGAAGAGGAATTGGCAGAATTAATGAAATTTGATGAAAATATTTTCCCTCCTGTACCAAATACAGAGCTAAGTTTTAATGTCGATGAACTTCCAAAGGAATTTCAAAACTTAAGTGTTGAAGGTAAAATATTTATATTTCGTTACAAAATAAAATATTAAATATAAAATATTAAGAATTTATATTATATTATTTATATAACTAATATTAAAATTTTATTTTTATAGAAAATATTACTAATGAATCAAGTCAATTACCAAAAAAAATTCATAATAAAAAAGTAATAAAACAGTGTATATAAATATAAATAAAATATAAATAAAACATTGTATGTATACACTATTTTTCTATTTATAATAAGTATAACATTTATATAATGTATTGTTATTTTTAAAATAAAATGTTATAATAAAATAAATGAATAAATATAATCAAAATATATAACAATATTAACCTATTATTATTAAATTGAAAATGAAAATTTTAATTGATGATTGAATATGAAATATAGTAAAATATACGTTAAATATAATGAAATATAAAATTCCCCCTGGATTTTTAATAACAAAAAAATATTGGATAAAATATTTGTTAAATAAGATAGACAAAGTACAGAAAGAATTTAATGTTCAATGTATTTTTTTTGTCTTATATTTAAAGATATTATTATTTATATATGAAGTCATTACAAATTAAAAAATTAAATAAAATGAAATATAAATAGAATCACTAAATAGTATCACTAAATACTATCACTAAATATATTTTATTAAAACACTCTAAATAAAAATAATTTACGAATTAATACTTTATAACCTTTTATAAAAATTATGACAAGTCCTTATTCGATAATCGATCCATTCTCGATTATGGTTATGTAAAAATTATATATAAACAAAGAAAGCAAATAATGAGAAAAGGACAAAAATAGAATAAAAATTGAACAACTAGTGACATCTCTGTATTGCCAATGAAACTAATATAAATAAAGAAAGCAACTACAAGAAGAAAGATAGAAATAGAATAGGATAAAAATTGAACAACTAGAGCCATCTCTGTGCTTCAAATGAAACTAATATAAATAAAGAAAGCAACTAAAAGAAAAAAGATAGAAATAGAATAAAAATTGAACAACTATCGCCATCTCTGAGTCATAAATGAAACTAATATAAATAAGGAAAGCAAATAAAAGGAGAAAGATAGAAATAATATAAGAATTGAACAACTAGAGCCATCTCTGTGCCTCAAATGAAACTAATATAAATAAAGAAAGCAACTACAAGAAGGAAGATAGAAATAGAATAAAAATTGAACAACTATCGCCATCTCTGAGCTACAAATGAAACTAATATAAATAAGGAAAGCAAAAAAAGCAAAGGAAATCATAAGGAAATAATAAAGAAAGTAAATAAAAAGAAAAAAATAAAGATAGAATAAGAATTGAAACAATATAATGTCATCTGTTGAATACAAAAAACATTTCTTAAAAAGTAGGTAAAATAAAAGAATGAGAATTAAATATCAGCGCTATCTTTTGAGTATTTTTGACAATATGTCTTTAGAATTCAAATTAATATTAAGAGATGGCGCTAGTTTGTCAATTTTTTACTTTATTTTGCCTTGTCTTTTTTAAGAAATATCAGAATGATATAAATCATACATACTAATACCACAAATTAATTTAATATAATAATATGCATTATAATTTATATAATTTTTAAATTTTTATTATTAATTTATGCATCTAACAATTTATTATAATAAGTAAGTATAATATAATTGATATATTTTTACAATATTTATTAAGGAATTTTTTTTTTTAAATCATTTATTCTAATAATACAATTTATTACTCTAATAATATAACAAACAGAATAAATCAATTAATTAATAGCAAAATACTATTTGCTATTTTTTTTTATAGAAATATTTAAAAAATTTTTAATATTGCAAGATATTATTTTTGATAATTTATTATGCATTTCCCGTTCAATTTTAAATAAATTTTTCATAGTAAAATATTTATTACGTTTTCGTGATATAGTCCATTTACATGATTGGAGAACTAATATTATGTATTTTGTTTAATATTCTATGAGTTTAATGTTTACCATTTGATTAATTTCACATAATGAATTGAAAAACGAACAAGCAAGTGTTAATATTTGAAGATGAAGCATATGTTTTCAATAAAAAAAAATTGAATAATTTATACTATGAATGTATACGTTTTGATAATATATGATAATATATATAGGTGGGAAGAAAATTAGAAATTTTGTATTAATATGAATTAAAAATTTGATGTGGAGAATATCTCAAATTATTTCATTAGCTAATCTTTAATTTTTCTTCAAATATTTAGTAAATATTTAAATTATATACACTTTATTTTTATATTTCAAAAATTATATTTCAAAAAATAGAATGTTTATTATTAAAAAAAAAAATATATATTTTAATTTACTTTAAGTTCAATTTTTAAAATAAAATAGTTTAATAACAAGTTGGAAATAACGCCAAAATTTTTAATTCCATTTTTATAATGATTAGTTATTTGTTGTTTAATTGACTATAAAAATTGTTTATTTTTTTACGAATACTTGTGTATTATTATAAATAATGTTTGTAAATTACTATAAAGTTCGTTTGATAATAAAATAAATAAATAGTCATAGAAATTTTCTTTTATAATCGTATAAAAATATATTACAAAATAAAATAACAAACAATAAATCGTTAGAAGCTTAAAAATTACCTTGTATTGGTTTGGAAGAGTTATTCTGTTGGTCATTACGGTCTTTCTGTTTCATTTGCCAGAAAATAACAATATTTAACAATTATGAATGAAAATGCATACCATTATTTCATATGTATGGCATCTCGAAAATGACACTGCTTTATGATTACTGCTAGTTGGAATTGTTTTATTTCAGTAAATTTACATACAGAGAATTAAAAAAAAAATATATATTTTCATAGTTATAGATTAATATATTTTTATTATATTTGTAATTTATATAGAATGATAAAAGCATGTAATCATTTATAACGTAATATTGTTTTCATTCATATTTCGTTATTGTTTGTAAAACAATTTTATATATCATCAATATTAATTTACCTTTATTATACTATACATGTACAATTTCGACTATATAAAAATTTCTAAATTACAACTTTTAAAATTACAACTTTATTACTTTATTATTATTTTATATTTTTATTTCTATTTTATTATTATATTAACTTTCATTAAAGCAATAAGATTAATAACTTTTGAAAAATTTTTTAATTAAATTCACGATGATTTTTTATCATGAATGATATAATAAAAATAGATTCGAATGAATCATTTTATATAAGTTATTATATTAGATATTATATAATTGAAGAAGAGTTATTATACTCTTGAATTCATTTTAAAAGAGAACAAAAAAAAAAAATTTAAATTTTTGCAGAAATCAAATTTATTAATTTATTTCTTTCAAAAATTAAAAATTTTAAATTCTTTTTTGTTAATTTTTAAATAATTTTTGTGCATTCATGATTAATAATATTTTATCAACACATATTATATTAATCTATATTTATTTGAAAATCTATGTTTTATAAAATTTATTTATCTATGACGCGGTTAAAATATTAATCTGCATTTAAATTAATATATATATAATTTTGTTTATAAAGTATACAAGAAATATCTTTTTTATTGTAGACAATATTATTTCAATAAACTTTAATTTTTTATCATGAATCAATGATGATATCTTTTAAATATGAAATAATGGACACAAATGTATGGATGTATGTATATGGACATATATATATACAAATATAGAAAATAGACATACATGTATAAAGTTATATACATATATATGTACATACAAAATTTAAAAAATTATTAAAATATTTTTTTTTAAATTTATTTGTAAAAAATTATATATTTTCCATATCTAAATATTTCATTTTAAATTTTCACGATGAATTCATTTTTTTTCTTCATAAATATATTATATAATTCATAATTAAAGAGAAATAAAATTCCGCGAAAAGCGACTGAGTTGATGATACGTATCGTTAATCAAACGAAAGTCAAATGGATAAAATCGTTTTTGGTGTCATATAAAGGGAAATCGTTATCGTTAATTCAATAGAAAACGATTTGACTGACAAAGTTATATTTACATGAAGTATAGGTTGTGGTCGAGTCCTTCGAAGAGACCACCTCTTTCGAAACAATACGTTCTTAGAAGGAATAGAAAGAATTCCTTGATACACGCCACTTTGTCAAATCAAATATTTATGCGACGTTCAATATTGTGTTCGTCTGTTGCCTTTTTCCAAGACAAGATTTATAGCAGCCCATTATGACATGGTGATGTGCGTTTTCAACGAACATTTATTACATGGTTCCTTGAAATCGTGAAAAACGTAGCTTTCTAATTCTAATTTAATTAATAAATAAAAAAGATAAAGAATAAATAATATTTATTTTAAAGAATTAAAGATCAAAGTTCCAAATTATCAAAGTTCATATAAGTATATGGATAATGTATTATTTATTTATATATATACATATTTCATTGAATGTATAAATATAAGGATAAAGAATGTAATTGATTAAATTAATTTAATTGAAAATTTAAAATTTAATTTAATAAAGATAACGATAAAAGAATTTCATTGAACCATTAGTAATAAAGAAAATGCTATAACTTAAGTATTATCAAGAATTAGAATTCGAACGTGCATTCAACGTAGTTAGGGAAAGGAAAACTATCATTAAAAATTGATGGAATAGGGACATTCTTCGTTTAGCTCTTGAAGTAGACAAATCTTTATACAACTAACAGATACATATTTATTTATGAGATGAATAGAGATTGAATGAAACGATCGATCTTCCAAGTACATTTGATATTGTTACGATTGTTCTTAATGACTTATAATAAAATCGATATTCATATCTGCTTACGTAAAAAGAGTTTCATATCCATGTATATATATGTATGTACATTGCGTGAGAGCAGCAAATTCTTCTAGATAATGTTCGACTTCCTTTCAGGAAACGAAATTATTACTAGTAGGTTGTACATAATTGACTCGATGGATTCACTATAAACTTTCATAATAACAAAAATCAAATCTATTGAACGTAATATAAAGTTATACGTGAATTTTTATATTTAGGAGTTATTTTAATTGTTTGTTTCTTTCTTTTTTTTTGAAATTAATATTGCATTTTTCATATTGAAACAAATAAAAGAGATATCTTTTATTGAAAACAATTAATTTTGAATTTTTTTAGAAATTTCTTGTTTCGACAATTTTAATTAGTTATTTAATCAAACAGTTATTGGTATAACAGTTTAAATTTCTATCTTCAATTTTATTTTTCATATTTTATAAAAATTTTGGATGAATTGTAATATTATCTTTTTTTAAATTTCTACTATTTTTACATATTTTTACATTTATACATAAAAATGTAATTGATTATTAAATTAAATTGGCCTAGTCTCACGAAAGTATCTGTTACCGTATAACATCATTCTTTTTTTCTAATTTCGTTTCAACGTATATTAATATAGTATTTCTCGAACGACTACCGACGTATGAACTTTTCACACTTTGACTAATGATTGACGTTCAATAAAAACAGCTGAAGAAAGCTATGTTACTTAATATATAGAATATTGACAGTAAAATAAAAAGTATTAGGGAAAAAATTTCAACTTTACTAAAAATTAAAAAAAAATATATTACATAATATACATTTATTTCTATTGCGTATATTTAATCTCAATAAATAATTCTAATCCTGACATTTTTATTATTTTTTGCTTCGATCTCTTTAATAAACTCATCAAAACTACCTTTCTATTTTTCTTTTTAATTTTTCCGGTTCTTTTTCCATAAAACGAATCACATTGTCAACGTATGAAACATTTCAATTCCTACGCAAAGTTCCATCTTTAACTTTTAATTCTCCATTTAATTTTTATCTATCATTAGAAAAAAAATCATTCATTACTTTAATATATTTCCGGAACGATCTATAACGATAGATAACGATTCAGAATTTAAATTTATTCTTCCTCCATGTTCCTCAACTTCTCACGAGTCTCACGTTTGATAAAATTAGCTCGACAGTCGTGCGATCAATCCCCCCAAGACATTCCTTCGCGTTTCCTTCGGCACACGAGGAAATAGAAGGAACCTGTACATTGAGCTTGAATCGAATATTCGTTCCCTCACGTCGACAAGAATAAATACATTTCCGATATTCCTGGCTGGCCAAGATTTTATTAAGAACCTCCACGGTAATAACCGGTTGATGAAAACTTCGAGAAAATTTTTCTCGTCGAGATGTCAAGATTAATAACGGGCCGATATATATCCAGATTTCCAAGGAGGAAGTTTTTCCGCCGTGTTGGAACAATAGATGGCGGGGTGTCGAGCGAGAAGAAGAACGGCGTGCCGGTTCCCGCGGAGGGGAAGCCTGCAACCAAGTCGGAGAAGCCACTCGGGAAGTAATTTGCTCAATGCCTGGGCGAACAGGGGGGACCATATAAGTAGAAGCAGTCAGGATACGTTCATAGATGAAGAAAAAGAAGGAAACAGCAGCTGCGAAGGGGGATAGAAAGATTGGAGCTGAGATAGAAGATGGGGGAAAGAGATGGAGGCGAGAAAGGGGAGTGGGAGAGACAAAGAGAGTGGTATATTGCGTAGACGCGAGAACGGAGGGAAGGAAAATCGGTAGCTGCTCTTGGAAGAAGAATGCAAAATGGCTTTATAGAACGTTCCAATAAAAAACCACTCGCGCGCCCTCTTCCACGTCTCTTCTTGTCCTCTCTTTGTGTAACGCCTTCATTTCCAAAGTAAATGAGGACGTAGTCTATGTTGAACGCGCTGTTGCGAAAACATAAACAGCCCGGTGTGTTAAAAGGAAAACGAATCGACGACAGGCGGAAGAGATTCGTGCGACACGCGAAGAAGGCTGAAAAAACTCGTCTTCTATCTTTGCGCTTTGTCGGCCGGCTCCTAGTTCATCGAGAGAGAGAGAGAGAGAGAGAGAGAGAGAGAGAGAGAGAGAGAACGATAGGTAGAGGGCGCTCTGACTTCAAACAGTTTTCTGCTTTTGTATCGGTTCGTGTTTCTTTTTCATTGAATCTTTTTTATTGGACGAGACATGAGTTGTAGAACGGTGTCAAAAGTCAAAGCATTGTCGTTAGCATCATGATGATACGGAAACGTTGATAACGCTTAATCAATCTCGCAATAAAACTCCTTTTTTTTTTATTTTACTAACTTATTATTATTAATTCGGCGTCTTTGGTAATTCTATATATATATATATATATATATATATCTTGTTTTTATATAATTAATATCAACAATAGTTCATATTATTTTTATCCTTTACCACAATTTAGATAATATTGTTTTTTTACAATTTTTTCACATTTTTTGCATAGGCATATAATATATTTGCATACATATATAGAGTTTTATTGAAGATATATATTAGATTAAAAAAAAAAAGAAAAAAAGGAAGAAGATATAAGTATAAAATATCAAATAAGTTCAAATAAGTCATAAGTTCAAATGTTTCGAAAAATTTCTTTTAATGAAATTTCTACGATTGCTTAGACGTTTCATTCTAATTAAAACAATAATACGTATTACTAGATTGAACAAAAGCAATAAAGTGAATAAAAATAAGATTTGAGAACACGAAACATTAAAAAAATATTGACGAAACAAACAAAGAGAACAAAATAATATAAATAAATAAAATTTATATATTATAATAGTTTGACGTTTAAAAATATTCAATTGGAAAATTATTTTGCGAGAGGAGCAAAAGGAACAAAATGGTGAAAAAAATGGGGGATAAAATTATAGAGGAAGGAATTGTTTCCCGTTTCCGTTAATATTTTTATCACGCGTCATATTGTCGCGCATAATTCTTTTCGTTCTCTCTCTTTCTTCCCCCTTTTACTGAATATTAACCGTAAAAGTTTCAACCGGAAGTTCAGCGCAGGTTTCACGTCAGCCCAACGGTAGCTAGGCGTGCGTTGACATCCCGGCAGAACAGAATAATCTCATTACGCGCGGTTGAAACTTCAGTTCTGGAATAATAAGGGGATATAAATGCAAATGAAAATTATGAAAATGAGCGATTAACCATCCATTCCAGATACAAAACTGCCGAACCGGCTTGAAACTTACGATCGACTTGCTTCTCTCCTCCTCCCTACCCTTGTTCTGAATAACGTTATCCACATAACGACGTACTTTCCACGCGTGAATTTGCCACTGGAATGATGATCATCCGAGTGGATTTTAGTTTATGAGAATATCAATTGATGGCACGCGTTACTTTCAAACTTGATCCAGTGATTATGCATACTTTGGAATTTTTGTCTCTGATCCGGATACGAAATGTCTGGTAAATTTATTAATAGATGTGATGATAAAGAAGAAGTTTTTTGTATTTGATACAAAAACATCTGAAAAATAAGTAGAGACTTATGTATACTTATGTAAAATGATAATAATAGAATAATATTAATAATAATAGAAAGATAAGTGTAAAAAAAGTGTAAAAAAATGATATGCAAATATAAAATGTATGCAATATTTAAAATTGTTAGCCGAGATTCTTCATACACACAAATTATATATAATATTCTACTATATAAATAATTTGCTAAATTCAATAAACTCAATTCATTAAACTCATAAACTAACTTTTCATTCAAAATTATAATATGATTTATTGAATTGTTTATAAAAAATCTAACAGAATCTAAAATTTCTTAATATATTCTTTTTTAACATTTACATCATTTATCTACACTTATTTACATTTTCCACTATTTTATTCTTTCACTTGAGGTTCTTTATCATTTAATGATATTAACATTTCATACTACATTAGACTTCGTGTTATAACATATCTACATATATTGTTCAATGATTAATATAGAAAAATCGTTACAAAATATGAAACAAAAACTTGTAGTATATGAAGAATAATAATAAAATAATAAAAATTAAAATAAAAATAAAATAATAAAATAAAATAGCAAATAAATACACGAGTTTCGGTTTTCTAAAAATACTAACAAGTGCATGAGCTTCATTGATTCAATCAATTCAATAATTCCAATGATGCGTTGATGCAAACAATCACTTTGATGATATCTATTATGTAAGATCGATTTTTATTCTTTTATTTATTATATAAAAAGTTATTGAAATCTTCTAGACATGTCTTTTTTTTAAAGACAAAGAAAAAAAAAATAATAAAATAAGAATAAAAACATAATATAATATATTAACTTTTTGCAATAGATTTCCTAACTAGTTCTAATCTAAATATATCTATCAATAATATTTTTTATTCTCAAATATTCACTCGTTCGATAAAATTCTATTACTCTGACAATATCATTTTAACGTTTCTTACGTGAATCATCATTTCTTATTCCATTTCACTATCATAAATTCACAAACCATGTTGAATAACTCGGTCCGAATGAAACATTCGTCGTCTCGCCTTTGCACCAGGAATCCTTCACTGTCTAAAGGTAGTATCGAATGTTTTCATTGCGTCGATCTTATAAAAGTTTAGACTCGTCAGTGCAGTTGGGTGGCGATTACTGTCACTCACTTTTAACCGAGGCACAATCAGAGACGCGCGTATCACAGACATACAACTGCGGAAAACCATCGTGCCGGAGAGGTTCTGTCAAGTGTTCGACAAATATCCGACGTGTTTGCCGTCATCTTACGGTAAAATTTGATTACTTGTCCCCCGTTGTTTGTTGCCGCGTATCTGGATTGACATAAATCTTCCTTTAACTCCTAACTCTTACCTCCTTTCGTTTGTAATACGCCAACTTATAAAAAGTCTTCGCCTTCATCGCGGTTTTGCCAATAATCTTTCTCTTTTAACGCCATGCCGCCATGCAGAACAATTGTGATTTTCTGTTTTAATGGAATAAATATTTTATGTAACATAAAAAATTTCCATTCAATTGTTTCTGTTGTTCAAAAAAAAAGAGATGTAATTATAATTTTAGAGATGATTTAATTTGATTTTAATTTTTATTTGAAATTCAATTATGATGAAACACGATATTCGATTTATAATTGCTCATGAATCTCACAAGGAAATTCATCTAATTCGAAAATTGATTTTAATAAAAGTTTTTTATATATGTAATGCATAATGAGTTATATGAATGAATAATGAATATAATGAGTAATTTATTTGTCGATGAAAAATCTTTTTAAAGCAACGAAATCAAAGTTTTAATATTTTTTTTAATTTTTTTTCAATATAATTTTGAATGGCAATTTCAAAAAAATATTAACAGAGATCTTAATTTTGTACTGTACTTTTTTTTTATCAAAATTAATTTGTCATTAATACTAATAAAATAAAATATATTATTAAAAAAATTGGAAATTATCCTATATTTATTTCTTATATTTATTTATTATATAGAAATTATTATTTGAGAATATTTTGAAAAAGAGATAATAATACAAATTGTAAAAGTAATATCTGTGATAAAAAATAACGTTAATATGTTAGCAATGTATAATATTTTAGCAATGTCATTCTATTGCATTTATAAATCTCGAATTTTTATAGCAAAAATTTATATAGATTTATAGAAGTATATAGATATAAATTATCTATATACTTTTTTTCTTTTCACAAATGGAAACGATACTTTTAGATAAGGATAATTTTATATTTACATAAGAAGAATTTTATATTTAGATAAGAATAAGAACAAGATAGTGCAGCGGATAAATCTGAATCATACATTTTTCTCATGAAAATAATTTATTCGGATATACATATATCGAGAATGATTATTTATTTTTTATTAATATTCACTTTTTATCATAAATTATCATAAATTTATTATCATTATAATCATAAATTATATTTTATTAAATTAAAAATATTTATTTTATACTATCATACTTATTTTATAAGAAATTTAATTATACTATCATTATTATTCAATTTTTTTTGTACTTGGAATAATAATATATATATTTATATATTTAGAATTATAATGTAACAAAGAATGAATAAATTTTTTTTTAAAAAACGACTGTTGCAAACTTATGTTATTATAATTATTGCTAATTATTATATTTATCTCTTATTGTTTAAATTATATTTAAATTACATGAAGGTCGTAAAGTTAGAACTTTTTAGTGACAAATATGTTTTAACGGGAATATAAATGATCATATATCGAACAGATATGAACAAATTTTCACTTTTAAATCTGGACAAAATTATAATTCAGTTTTTCTGGGTTGAAAATTTTCATCCTGTTGTCATCCTCCATTTCCATCATTTCTGTTACTATTTCCAATCAAAATAACTGGAGAAAATATTTTATAGCTAACAATTTAAAATATAAAAAAATACATATTTATTGTACTTGCTCAAAAATGATAGTATTAAATAAATGATAGTATTATAATAAATATGAATAGACATTAATTTAATACTAATATAATAAATTGGTAAATATAAAAATTTTATTATAATATCAAATTAATTAAATATAAATTAAATATAACATTTTATTAAGATATATTGGAAGATTTTTTATTAAGAATATATATGTTCTGTAAATGATGGTGCAAGCGTATAGAAAATGATTCCATATAAAAAAAATAAATCAAAAATAAAAAATAAAATTTTCTTATTTCTTTGTTTTCGAAGCTATTTTGAAAAATTAAATTTTAAATACAATGTAATTAATTATTTTTCGATACAAAATGAATTATAATTATAATATTTATTAATATTATAATTATATATTTAATAATATTAATAATTATATATATTTAAATCATCAAATAATGAAAAATAATTATTTTCTTTTTAGAAATGAATGAATGAGATATTTCGTGTCAAAAAAAATATATGTCAAAAAGATGACTCATGTTAATATTTTAAAATTGTAATAAAACTTCATATTATCTATTATGTTTTTTTGTTATTTATAATATGTATCATTATGTTATGATATCTATTAGTGAAAATGAACAAATAAAATAATTTTTGATTATGACTTAAAAATTAAATAAAGAAAATTATATAACTATAGATATTACATATATTATATAATAGATATTGACAATGATTATCTTTATAATAATCTGTAATTAATTTTTTAATATTATATTCGCATTTCATAATCATTTCTTGCACTATCATATTTCTCGATATTGCCATTTCATCGTCAATATTTACGAAAAAAATTGAATGAAAAAATGTCTAAGAATTATAAAAAAAATAAATATTTTGATTGATAAAAAAGAATAATTAAATACGAAGATATAATAATATAAGTTATAATATAAATTTATAATATATTTTATTTCAAATCCTATTTCAAGAATTAATTATAAAACAAAAATGCAAGTCATTATATATGCAATACATGAAAATATTTTTCTTTATAACAAGTAAATAGCTTCTTAACTGATCTCTTTAATTCTCTCTTAAATTCATAATCTTTAATCAAACATCTAATTTCTGTTATTCTTTTTCGTATCAATCAATCAAAAAATTTAGTATTTTCACGCAGAAACATAAAAATACCCGAAAATAATAGTGATTCTAAAAAACCCATAATAAAAATATTTTTAACCACTGTGTTTTCTATTTTCAAAATTACTATTTTTCACTATAAAATTCACAATATTCACTGAATCGATCTCTATTAGTATTTGATCACGAAATATATTTATACCTGTAAAAAATATAGAAATATGCTTTATATCCAAATTCATATTCAAATAAACTTATCATATACATATTATTTGAGATAATGAATGTGATAATAAATTTAAACTATAATTAAACGATAACTATAATTAAACGATAACACTTTTTTTGTTTCAAAATGTAATATATACAGATATATGATTGTCGTTCCTATTATATAAATTGATGGTAATATTGTGATATCCGTTTTAATAGGCACGTAACCGTTGAACGAGTCAGTTTGTTCTTCGAACACGAGAAGCATGAAACGGAACGTTACAAAACTATTTTTCATTTCGTGCATCTTATGCATTGTGAATCAATCAAAGTGCTACAAGATCTTGGCCATTATTTCGACACCATCTTACAGCCATCAAATTCCGTATCAACCGTTATGGCTAGAATTGCACGCACGTGGTCACGAAATTGTGTTGGTTACTACGAATCCCATAAAGAATATCAACTCGCCGAATTTCACTCAAATCGATATAAGTAAAAGTTACAATTCTTTAAGGGCCATAGACTTTGTCAAGCTACGATTCGAAAAAGTTAATTGGATAGAAGCACTGGAGAAATATTTATTATCTTTGTGTTCTTCCTTCGAGATTCAAGTATTCAATTCCACAGAAATGCAAAAGCTGTATGCACCGGATAGCAATGTAAAATTCGATGTCTTCTTAACGGAGTTGCTCTACATGCCAGCTATGTACGCCTTTGCCTACAGGTTTAACGCTTCGTTAATAGGTATTTATTCAATATGATTTATTTAATATTTTTTACAATTGTGAATGGTTTGAAACTAAGAACAATAATCATGTTTTGCATGATCGTAGGATTAAGTTCGTTAGGATTGCTTAGTATAAATGATTTTGTACTTGGAGGAGCAGTGCTTCCTTCTCATGAATATTTATGGGAAAATGAAGGAAATACAGGCATAAATTTACCATTTTATAAAAGATTGCACAATTTTGTGAAAACATGGCGTTTACTGTTACATCTGAATTTCAATGTATTTCCCAAGGAGCAAAAATTGGCAGAGCAATATTTTGGGCCTTTGCCGCCTTTGATAGATATTATGAAGAATGTTAGCATGATTTTTATTAATGAAGCCGATGTTTTAACACCGGGAAGACCAATACTTCCAAATATAATTAGATTCAGTTCTTTTCACGTATCTGAAAATCCAGATCCTTTGCCGAAGGTAGATTTTATTTAATAGAAATTTGATTATTATTGAATTTGTATGTTTGAAAAATATATAAGAATATTATACAATTTATAGATGAGATAAGTTATAAAATTACAATTAGCATAATTTATATAGAAATATATAGAAGATCATAAACATTTATATAAGATAATTTATGATACAAATAGGATTAAAGAGATATGGCTCTCTATGAAATAAAACGAAAATCAAGAATAACGAGGGAAGAAATTGGAAAGTTGGTTAATTTTACTTTTATTTGAAAAATTTTCAAACTTGATTTATTTGAAAACAAAATTTCAAAAATTATTTATTAAAGCCTAAGATCTTATTTGTACCATAAATTATTAACAACTTATTATTAACAATATATACATATAGATATAGAACTACAAAAAAGTTAATTGTTATCATTGATCGAAAATCTAGATTTTTGCACAAATATGTATAATTTTTTATTTAAATTATTTTTATTGCAGAATTTACAAAAATTTTTAGACGATGCAAAAGAAGGCTTCATCTATTTCAGTCTCGGTAGCAACGCAAGAAGTTCTACTATACCAAAAGAAATTAAACGTATATTTTGT